GTAGCCTATATCTGCACCCCGGGGGTGGAGGGTCACTCTATATGCCGTTACTTCCGGGGGCTACTTCATTAAGTGGGTGAGGGTGTGAAGCCCACCTCTCGTAAACCATACTCACTTCTAAACCATTTTTTTTCTATTTATATACCCACTTCTAAACACAAGGGTTTTCAGCAAAAAAACCCCCACCCAGCTCACAACTTTCGCAACCAGTGAACGCATCCGGGCGATGCATTTTATTCAGCCTTTTCCAGTATCTGGCTTTGAATATAAGGAACTGTGAAAAAGTAAATAAATGCTACACACTTCTAAACCAAAACATTGATAAATGACCACCCACTTCTAAACAAAATAACATGAAATTACACCCCAGTCAGGCGGCACATACCCGGTATTGCACTTCTATGCAAGAGCCCCCCCCCCCGGCCGTTACTACCCCATGTGCGTTCCAAATTTAGCGGGAAAAGGAGGTGTTTTTCACCTGCAAGAGGGGGCCCGCGCGGGAGGCAAATAGGTCCCCTTTAAAAAGCTAATATCTGCAATAGGCCTTCAGGAATAAACTCACAGGGCTGCTGTGCCCGCTGTAGACCCCCCTGCAACAACTACTCCCATACACCGCCCTAGACCCCAAATTTGCGGACCCATAGCCCCGACCAGGTCCCAAACGCCCACCCGCCCCAAACTTACCCACCGGGACATGACTGCAATAGGGGGTGTTTTTTTTTCTTCAATATGCTTTATGGGGTACTAAATTTACATTCATTTGCGTCCGCAATAGAGGGTATAGCTTGCCAATGTGCTACCAGCCCTAGTGGCCTATTATTTTTTTTTAGCAAGAATGCACATTTCAATGTAGGTTTTAATATAGAGTGACCCCCCCCCCCCAGTAGCTGCACACATGATGGCGCTGAATGTGTTTGAAAAACAAAATTCTTCGCCAGGCTGAAGCTGTTGAAATTAGGTTTATCAAAACAACCATGAAAGTAAAAAGGCGTTCATGATAAAATTCAATCAAATTCAATCACTACTCTTTCAACTTGTATATTTGTGTTCATACATGCATTCAGCTCTACGAGCGTGACCTGGAAAATTGCCATGATTGAGTTCAATTTCTGTTTTAAGATTTATTCGGTATAATAATACAAATCTACACCCCAACAGCGGTGGACATACAGTCCACCTTTGTCGGGGTGAACATTTGTATAATGTTGAACACTACGTTTTCGAATTTGTGAAATTCTTTCGTTTTTTTGGAGAAAAAAAAAACTGAAAAAAAAACTGATTTTGACAAGATAATTCATATTTTGTTCTTGCTCTGAAAGTATGTCTATAAATAGACGCGTTACTGATATGAATTCTAGCTAGACAAATTATAGTGCACACGTAGAAAAAAACACAACTTTATTACGTTGCGTATCTACACTTTCAAATTTCAACCAGTCAGAGTCTTTCCCTCCCAGAATGCAGAATGTAGGTAATAAATAAGACTTGAAACTGTTTTTGAGAGCCAGTGTTGTACATTGCGTTGCTACAATATCGACTGTAAATTACACAGTCATTCGCCGTGGAGTAACGCCGTGCACTTACGTCGAAGTCACCGCACGCGACGAGGAGCTCCCATTTGAACCAACTTGAACATTCTGGCCGGGATTGGTTTCAACCGGCAGCCGCGATCGTGACACTGTTTCAGCATCGGTCGCTGAAACAGCTTGCTGTAACAAACTTGCATCGCACAAAGCTTGACATGCTTCCCCAAATTGGCCACTTTTGCCGACGGAGACAACACAATACCTGGTGCAGACGACACCCCCCGTCAGGTGTGTGTATAATACCACCTAACCTATCTATTATAATTAGCTTCGACTTGTTTTAGTAAATTAGCTATAAATAATTGTCAGCAGATAAAATAAAGCTTATTTTTATGCTAACATAATGAAACAATAATGACAAAATAATATATGAATGTGAACAAAATGATGAAATTATGTAAAAATGCTAACAAAATTAAAAAATAATGTGAACATAATGATAACATAATATAAAAATGTGAACATGATGACATAATGTAAAAATGCTAACAAAATTAAAAAATAATGTGAACATCATGATAAAATAATATAAAAATGTGAACACAATGATGAAATAATGTAAAAATGCTAACAAATTTAAAAAAAAAAGTGAACATAATGATAAAATAATATAAAAATGTGAACCCAATGATAGAATAGTGTAAAAATGCTAACAAAATGAAAAAATAATGATAAAATAAAATTAAAAATATGAACATAATTATAAGTGTTAGCCAGTGTTTCAGTGTCATTAAGGGACATTTATGTTTTATATTGATGTCAAAAATGCGTATAAAGAAGCCATTTGTTTCGGCCTCACCGATCACCAAAATCATACAATTGAGGCAATACTTGCTGAAAAGACGAGTTTGTTGCAACGAGGACAGGGAGTGTCAAATCACGAAAATTGTGCAACAGTTCAATTCTTGAATGATCAGTCGAGTTTCTGAGATTTTCTTTCAGATTTGACAGTTTCAACATGGTTGAAATAAATATTTGTCAATTTGCTGACGAAGTATGCCACACACAGCCTGCGACGTTGACATAAACAATTGTTCAAACCTGGGTGGTTTTTGGCTTTGGAAAACAACCTAAACACACTCTACACGCACGGTTACTAGAAGAATTTCGTAGTAACCGTGCTACACGTCGCCATTTCCGACATTGTGTTCTTTAGCTTACCGCGCAATGTTACACATCGTCTGATTGGGTGCCTTTCCAACAGGCGCATCCAATCAAATTTGGCCATTTGTTTTAAAAAAAATACGCGTTTAACCAGTCTGATACCGCACGGGTTGGAGGAGTCGGCAATGAGTCGGCACTCACAAACCGTGCGATTCGGACGATGAATACAATGTATCCGTGCTGTGTTTTCTCTACCGAATACGACCAGAGATCGCACCGCAACCCCACACCACATCACTTGTGAAAATAAATTACTTACTCCAGATACGTCAGTGCGAGGCCATGGCGTTTTGTTATAGTACTCACAGTTCATGTAACCTTTACGGTATATCAGCAGATTATTGTAATAATGTATGCGTTTATTACGTGTACATTTCCCAGTGTTTGATTTGTTCTCTTAGCCTAATATTTCTTACTCATTTTAGATATACCCTTGTCACGAATCAAATTCCCAGAAAAATGAACCTTTTTCCGCGTCGTGGTGACCCCACAATTACCTGTATACGAATCGACAAACAATAATACATTGATTATTGCCAGGGATTGGTTCTCGTAAACTGTAAGATCCCGAATGAAAGGCGGGTGGTCTCCATCTCTGAGGAGTCGTTTCGGAAGAGACAGCTCTTCGAAAAAGTATGTGTATGTACAGTTAGTGATCAATCGGAGAAAAGCGATATACTCGACAAAATGTGCCCATCCACGTCCAACCTTCTGTTCTGCAAGTGGATATCCCGAAAGGAGATCTTCAAATATCTCATAAGCAGATTCCAAGGAAGCTTTATGAGCGTCCCACATATAGTACAGTAAATAGTCTAGTTGCGCTGCGTCTATGGGAGTACAATGGCCCTTGTAAAATTCAATCCATTTTTGAAACGTTTCCGGAATTAATTCACGGCAAGAAGCAATACTATTGCAGTATTGATCAGCGCGCCCACTTGGTTTTAACAATTTAAGTTGCAGTCCCTCGAGGTCAATGACACCTGCTTCAACAGCGCAAATGAATGGAATAACTGACAGGTAGTAGTTCATACTGGCCCAATAGCTGTTTTGTGATACGTAGAACTTGTCTTCTTGATCACTTTGTAGATTAAATGGATCGTTCAGACGATGTGTTGAGAACTACCATCCAAATTGGAGTGGAAGACCCCAAAGAATGTTGCCTAAATTACGAGGCCCGAAGTCGCGCATGTATTTTTCGGTGGATTTCAACAATATTTTATACAGACCCATACGTTGTAAGTAGTTCCAGGGATCGACAGTTACAGTCCCGTTAAATACGTCGTAGTCTGTAATACGTGCAGGTACTTGGTCCCAGAATGGAGACGAACTTTCACAAGCGTGGGTAGTTTCACTAACCTTTAAATCGCAACTTTCCCGCCCAGAATCACATGCTTGAATTCTGGCGTAACTTTCAACGCTTTTTACAATGTACAACACACAGAAGAAGCTTACAAATTTCAACGTTGAGTGATCCATGATTTAGACGTTTATCATATATTTTGTATGATATCAGTGTCCCGTCTGTTCACCTTGGGTCCGGTCACATGTCAGCACGTAAGCACATGCAATTGGTAAGATAAAACCCGGGTTACAAAGGAATGAAGATTTTTTATCACATGCTGTTATTTTGACTAAACACGTGGTTCCCGATATCCGATTAACAATCAAAGCCACAAGCGTTGGTAGTGGAACCCAGTTTCATGCATCCAATCACGAGACCAGTTACAGTTACACATAAAAATGAGCCACTGTGTAGGCGCTAAGTCATGTAATATTTGAAAGAAAGAATGCATCTACTGAGTGGATGCAAATGCAAAATATCAGACCAATTAGTCTAATACAACAAACATAATACTACATTTACCATTTCCACTTAATCAAAGATGGCAGACAAACCATGTGACTGATCAACATTATTTTATTTTTCTCATAAGAACATTCGGCCATACATGTTATGTAGCAAATATTAAGTCGTTCGTTTGGTTAAATCATTGATGGAAAACAAATACCTACAATTGTGATTATTTTCGACAAAAATCCAAAATAACGGCCAAATCACATGACTGATCAATATTATTTGGGACCGTTGATTATAAAAACTTGTATTCAGGACACGTAACTAGTGATCACCCCTCATACCGCTGCCAATAAGGTCAAAGTTGTATACAGGTATATTTTTTCTCTTTGAGGATTATGCTTCCGTAGATCACCAATTAGAACAATCATTAAATTGACATTTTGTCATGATGACATTCATTAAAAACCAGTCCAAAAGCCAATCAGCGACGGCCTTACAGTCAGATGAAAATTTCGGTTTCAAATACCCCAGGAAAGTGTTCTATGTTCTTCGTGTAATTAGGTGTTCGTATTTAAGGGATTTTTCCACACAAAAACGCCGAATTCGGCCAAATTAATGTTATCCCAAACTGATCGTATTTCTGTGAAAGATTGGTATTCTTGTCCAGATTTGTAGAATCTGAAAAACGCGTTTCACAACTTGTCTCTTATTTAGTTTTCTGCTGCATTCAAGATGGCGGCCCCCATATAGTAAATATCGTATTTATTTTATTATCACGTGTGCGCGCCACTGCTGATGTTGACAACGTTGAAGTAGAATAGCTTCCGATCTTGATCAAAGTTTGGCACCCGATTCATAGGAGTGCTTATATTGATTTCTGACATCTTGTTTTCTGTGCCTTGTCTTTTTACATTGCATATACCATCAAAGATGCATGGAAAGGAAAGATATATTATTAAAGGGAAAAAATTGTGTCTGGCGTAGTCGTCGACGTCGTTGTCGTTAATAATTGTTATTGTGTGCACAATAACTAAATTATTCCAAACTTTATCAAACTTGGTCACCTTATTCATCAGTATAAAGTCTTCTCTGAGTATGAACAACAAATGTTCTGTATGACAATATCATGCAAAAATTGAGAAATTCTGATAAAATATTTTGACTATTTGTACTTGACTGATCACTGGTGATACACATTCAGTCTCAGTGTAAATATGCATTGTTGTATGTGTTTAATGAAGCAAATGATTTATTTTGCAATAATGTCGTTGGTAATGTATCTCCCAATCCTCATGGGAATACTAGACTGGGTTTCAAAACCAACTCATGGAGAGAGTTATTGCACAGTATGATACACTTTTGCGATCCTACCAATAAAATCTTTACAGAAAACAAGATGTCAGAAAATCAATATAAACACTCCTATGAATTGGGTGCCAAACTTTGATCAAGATCTGAAGCTAATAGAAAATCTGTTTAGTCAAAAGTTAGCAATACATAAAAAGCAAAACGTTGCATCCACATTTTGAAAAGAAAATTGTACTAAAAAATATGTATACTGTATTTGACAAACAGTTCATTCGACAAATTAAAATTTGTTTCAGCTATTAGAACAGAATGATAGAGCTTTTATAATACTAATTTATAAATGCACTTCAAAAACAAATATTGCAGTGTTTGAAGATGTAGATTCTCAAGAGGCAACAGTACTGTTGACTTATCTCTCCACTGGACACCAACTAACTATTTAAGTTGATTTGCATACAAAGCAAAACTTGCAACATGATAGCTATTCATATAGGGCGTTTTTTTCCTTTTCAAATAATACAGCAGTCACACAATGAATATAATCAGGCAGTTCATATTTGTCTAAGTGAATCATTAATTTTTGACAGACACCTGTACAAAATACAAAAGCCAGCTAAGATTTTCTCTTAAATTTCTCTTATGTTTTATGAATCTATTCACGTCTATCTGAATTACTTTGAATAAAGTTGGAAATTATGTCTCTTAAAATAATTAAACAAATTAGCCACCAATGATTGGTAAGATATTTACATCCGTCAAGAATATTCGGTAGACTGCTTTCCCACTGTAATTTCAACCCCAAAACTTGTTTGTTTTCAAAATTAATTATGACATTGCATATTAATGTTGAAACAAACTATGATAAAGGGAATAATATTTTATAACAAAGAGCAAGGTCACCAGAGTTCAACTATTATCAGGCCTGATCCTTCTATTTCTTCATGCATATTTCTCACAATGTAGTCTACAAATTGCCTTATTTGCCTTTCCTTCCTCTTGCCTGGACAACTATGCATCACATGCCCATAGCCATCACAATGGTATCACTGGATGTCTCTCTTTTTGTGCGACAGTTCTTTGATATGTGGCCAAGCTCCCACAGACCTTGCTATTGGCTTTTGCTGATCTCTCATTCTCCTTCACCTTCATGTCAGCCAATAATGATTAAATTGTTGCTTGAATGGTAATATTACCTTTTGCTTTAGTTGTTTTTGTCATGGTTGGCTACGAATTACTGCTGCAAATGGACTGGATATATCTTATATTGGGTATATAAGTTGATACCTTGACATACTTATATATAGGTATAAGAATATAGGTATCTTGGTGGTAAAAGATCCTATAGACCCATTGAATTTGGGGTATAAGAAGAGAGTTCCTGGTATTATTGGTAGCAATATTTTGAGACACATCAAAACCAAATTGGGTCTAAATTTGTCTAATGGTGATGACCGTCCTGAGGTGAGAAATTTGGCACATGTTGTCAACCTGTGTGAAATTGCTTGTCAACACAAACGTGAAAAAATTGGTCATGTGGGATTTGTGAAGTTGGCTAGGAGACGACGAGTTCTGTTAATTTTGGTCATGTTCCTGTCTTACTAGCCAATTTGGGAAATGAAGATGTTATCTTGCAACCACGTACTCGTTTGGCATCAATGTTTTGTATTGTTGAGCTCGATAAGGATGTGCACAGTTCAACAAGTAAGTGCTTTTGAATTAATAATGGGAACTAAGATAACAACTGGTTGTGACAATCTGATAGAAATGGTTATGGAGATGACTTTTATTGGATAAAAGATAAATATTCTCCATGATGAACTAAACATAAACATGTGTTCAGTAAAACTGATGATGATCGTGGATACTCAGAAACAGTTAAACGCCAAATACATACAATAGATGATATTCCAACACTAGGTTATTTGCAATGCGCAATGGATGAAAATGACATTCACAAAAAAGCAGTTAGAGTTGGTGGTGGTGGCCATTATGAATTTACCTGCCTCCCGTTTAGGTTGTGCAATGCCGTTATCAGTTTTCAGAGGCTTATGGAGGCCTATCAAGGTGACCAGAGTTATAAAATAGTTTCAATTAAAGGTAAAGGAAATGCCAATGAGCAACAGAAAGAAAATCAAAGAGCAGCAAATTGTCCTTTTGTAGAACGGTAGAATGAATCATGTGATATAGCATTTCAAGAGGTGAAGAATAGATTAGTGTCGGCTCCGATTTTGGGATATTTTGACTTTACTAAACCTTTTATTTTGGAGACAAGATCTAGAAGCAGGTAGAGTAGCTATTGATTATGGTAGTCAAAGCCTGAAACCATCTGAACGTATTGTGCAAAATTATAGTGCCATGAAGCTTTAATTGTTGGCTCTTAAATGGACCATTATTGATAAATTTAGGAACTATCTCCTTGGAGCCAATTTTACAGTGTTTACAGACAACAATCCACTTTGTTATTTGGAAACTTCCAAATTGGGTGCTACTGAAATGCGATGGTTTTCACATACAGTTATCATAATTTTATTTCAGTATCAAATATAGTTCAGGTCGACACAACAAAAATGCAGATGCTCTCAATCGTAAAGGTGTACAGAACCAGTCTACTGTGCAATCTATATAAGTTCAAACCATGTTGAGTGATAATACAGCAAGTTCCTTTATACCACTTGAATTGCACATCAAAATAAAATTGGAGGGAATACAGGCAACAGATCAAACCTCACTATCATCAATTACATTCCCATCTATTCCTTGGCGTTTGTGAGAGTGAGGTGTAATTGGCCTGATTATGTGGAAGATGTTAAAGCGTGGTGTAAGAAATGCGATTGCTGCATGTTGGCGAAGGCATCTATGCCAAGTGTGAGACCACTGATGGGTAGTATGTTGGGATTTAAACCCTTAGATATTTTAGCCATTGCTTTCACTGTACTAGAACCTGCATCTGATGGTAAGGAGAATGTTCTACTCATGACAGATGTTTTCACTAAATACACCCAAGCAATTGCCACCCGTGACCAACGAGCTCGGACGGTTGCCAAGGTGTTGATCAATGATTGGTTTGTTCACTTTGGTGTTCCGAGGCGGTTCCTTAATGAGCAGGATCGAAATTTTGAAGGACATGTCATAAGAGAGGTGTGCAAGATGTATGGTATACAGAAGTTACGAACACGGTAATTCACAACGTCAGAATTTCAATAGAACTATGCAAGACCGTTTACGCACCTTAACCTCAGAAAAGAGGCGGAGGTAAACTGAATATTTATTATAGTTAGTTTATGCTTATAACGAGACTCCCCACTCTTCTACTGGGTATTCACCATTCTTTTTAATGTTTGGAAGGGATGTTCACCTGCCAGTTGATCACTTGAAAATGAACCAGCAACCATTGACGATTGGATTTCTAGTCACCATGTAATGTTGCTAAGTTCATTTGACAAAACCGGAACAAACATGAATAAAGAAGCTTTAAGTAGACAGAAGCGCTGTAATAAGTATTATTCTGCAGAGTTTGCTGTACCTGTAGATAGAAAAGTGTTTCTCTGAAATCTTGTTCTTGGTAGGAATAAGATACAAGATCGGTTTCCTATACACTATTCAACCAGTGGATAGATCTGGAAAATTTCGTAATATAAATCGTAGCGAGTTATTAGATAGAAAAACAGTTACCTGGTAATGTTGATTTTCCCAATGTTAGTAATCTATTTAGTAGCAGTGATGGCGAGAGGGACAGTATTAGTGATGACGACTCGTATGTTATTTATTTTCCTGAAGAACAACTCCTCCTGCACAACCTATAGTAAGGGATAGTGTCCCATATCTGTTTCACCTACTGTATCAGAATCCCCAAACCAGAGGCTACTAGGTCACCTTGTGATGAACTGCCAAGACGTCAGAGTCCATGTAGTACGGCTGGTAAACACTGTAATCGTTTTCCTTCACCTCGTTCTGCGCTAAGCCACCCTGACACTTGCACGACTTTTGTCACAAACTGGGAGGCTCCCGCACTGTTCACGCATAGTTTGTGCATAGTTTACGCACTTCCCGCATTGCCACGACGAGTTTGCGCAATTTGGACGTGAGCTGTGACCACAATTTTGAACATTTCAGAATTCTCGTCCCGTCATGGCATGCAGTCACTACAGGTTTACGTACACTTCACGCCAGTTTACGACTAGTTTGCGCACTGGCACGACTCGAGTCGTGCGAATGCGTGCCACAGAATCGTGCAAGTGTCAGGGTGGCTTTACAGTCACCACAGGTCGACCAGCAACAGGTCACAGCTTCTCAAACAGTTCATAGTCCGATTGCAGATTGCAGTTATGCTATTTCTAGTCTTGGCTCTGCATTAGAACAGGTGAATATTGATGGTTGGCTCAAAACTAATTCTAGCAAATAGTTTATAACTGTTCTTAAATATTGAAATGGGTATGTCTGTTGGGGCAGCATACATAAAACTAGGGGGAGAATGTGAGCTGAGTATAGTTGGCCATTGAGGGCGCTATTTAATCTGTTATATTTTTGATGATTTCTACTGATAATGTAGATATTTCTACTGATAATGATTGATAATGTAGATTTGTATTTAAACTATTTATTCAGGATATGTGATTTGTGTATTTTCAGTATTTTAATTTATTAGTTATTATGGAATTGACCAAAAAGGGTGCACAATGAGTAACAATAGAAGTTATTTTCATATTGAATGAAACCATGAAACTTAGCACTGAGAAGTCAGTTTGGGTCAGTAACATCATTGGACTCGTCTGAGAAGCATCTCCTTCTTTCACCTCTCTGACCACTGAACCATTCAGTCCGGAGTTGGGTTTGTGGATGTTTTTAGTCCAGCTCATTGCAACTGTGTTTAACACTAGTGCAGTTTGTGACTCCTACAAGTCAGACTGAGTTGTATTTGTTAGATTTGACCAACTGACGGGGTTTTCAGTTCCTGTAATTTGTGGTGAACTTTACAGCGTCACTCTCCCTTGTAAGCACGGTTCCATGCGAAATCCTCCGAAATGAACAAACCAGTTACCTCTGTCGTCCATACTTTATTATCCCTTGGTCACATTATTTTACTAAACTGGTCATTAGCAATTACCATCCTCAGAGTGTGATCCATATCTTTATAAGCTAGCTTGCATACCATTTCTAGATCTAACTCCAGTCTACTGCCAAAGTCTGCTATTGAATTGCCTTTCCTTTGGTTGCTGTTTCTGTAGAAACATTACCACGTGTTTCCACACTTTAAATTCAATGTCACCTGTTGGGTCACCTAAAAAGGTAAAAAAACCTAGACCTCTGTGTCAAGTAGATTCGTGCATTTGTTGCACATGCACACAGACAGAAAACAAAAAAATAAATGTTACCCACACAATAAGCACTACAATACCTCATCAATACATGTACCATATACGCCCCGCAGTTTGGGCGCCACTGTTAGCCTTTCCTCATCTGCACCACACACACGATCTGGTTAGCCACCTGAAAGGGACTTGCAAGAGGAGGAGGTTAACAGAAATTTGTTAAACCCGTTTTAATCGCAGGGGTGTCCGTATATGTAGCTTTGTTGGTTCCTAGGCATATCCAGACAGACCAGCCGCTTTACCCGGGTGATATCTGCAGGCATACAGTACTACAAAAATAGTCCATAATAGATAATACCTAGTTAGTTTAGGGCTGAATTTCATGCATATTATTTAAATTTGAAGGTTTTTATTAGATGTCTTGCAACCTGGTACAGATTATGTCTGAGATAATCTACATAACTGCTTAGTTTGGGGTTGAAATCGAGGCTTAATAATTACCATAATTATCAGAAAGTTTAGTGACACTATAATGTACATATCTATTCAATGAAAACGCACGTGGAGATGATCCTCTCTATAAGTCGCAGCAGCATGACGGGGATCCGCATCTTGTCATTTAAAATAGTAGTCAACAGTAACATCGCCTGTTTCCGTACTTCGTAAGAGCACATGGTCCTCTCCCACAGCGACAGAAATGCGTCACCTGTAAAGAACATGATTAAACATAAAGTTATTTAATTAAATCAACTCTTGGGCAGATTGGATTAGTTCACATCAGACTGAATACAAATGTATATTGTATGTTTAATGTTGGGTTATTACAACCAAAACAAAGTCAGCTCGGACTTTCAGTTGTGAGACATGACAAAACAAACGTTTTTTGGAAGAAAAAAAAATATTTTGACAAGATAATTCAGAAATCTATATTAATAATAATTTATTTCCATAATTACTGCTTACACAACAATATTGCAGACAAAAATATAAATTGCTATATTCTCTATATTTGTGCCTTGTATTTGTCTTGAATTATAACTGAGACAAGCTGAATGAAATTACAAATTATGTAGTGTGTTCAACAACTCATGTATGAACAATAACTTTAATGGACCAAGAGATATGTTCCTTGTTTGCACGTCATCATTTTCACAAAATTGCAGACAATTATTTGTAAGAATGCCCTTTAAAATGGCAATTTTTCACGATCTTTAGCCAGTACTCCGCGGGGTATATTATATATTACTTTCCGAATATGGGCGTTTGTGTCCGAGCGCAGGTGATCATTTGCCCGACGTTAGTAGGTCAAATGATGATCTCCTTGCGCGAGGGCACTCGCGAGGATTACCGCCACACAACATAATTTCGTTAACAATCATATTTTCAACCTCTTCTGATGTTTTGACTCTCTCTTCAATATTTTACCGGCGACAGTAACGGTATTAGCCATATTTCTGGCATTTGACGGTCAGATAACGCAGATAAACTTATTTATTCTGTGGGCGTGGTTTAGAGTGGAGTCGGTTGGCGGGTTGACTTTTATTTTTCGCGCGTCAACCTTTTCACTTAGGCGCGTAGATGTTTTGAATTGTTTGACAGCTAGCAAAAAGATTGTGCGACGCGCACCGTCGGCGGCGCCTTTTTATGGCGTTTTGAACACTTAGTCAATTTTAGCAGTAACGCCTAAATTTTGCACGGAAAGTATGTCTATAAATAGACGTGTTACTGATATGAATTCGATTCTAACGTGATAAATTATAGTGCACACGTGGTACAAAACACAACTTTAGTACGTTGTATCTACACTTTCAAATTTCAACCACTCAGATACTTTCCCGCCTAGAATGTAGAATGCATTATCCGACCGAGGTAATAAATAGGACTTGAAACTGTTTTTGAGAGCCAGTGTTGTACATTGCGTTACATTATGTATTGCAAATTACACAGTCATTCGCCGTGGAGTAACATTGGTATTGTCTGAACTGGTATGCAAATGAATAAAATAGACTCTTCCAAAGTTTGGTTTTCTCCGCATTTGTTTCATAACTTGAACTGCCAAGTTGGATTTGGCACCTAAGAGTTCTCGACCATACAATACAAAATAAAACAAAGTCAATCTCGGTGTGATGTGCCACTAACTAACTCCTTTTGTTTTGTTTTTTTCAGAAGTTGAACAACAAATCGAAGTGTAGTGTTTATATAGATCGACGCATGCAGATTTGAAAGCACCGAAACCCCGACTGAAAAGCGAATGAAAATGTCCCAGTTGCGGCAATGACACTCACCAGATGCCGAGTGTCAGCCAGCGTTTCAGTGTCATTAAGAGTCATTTATTTTTTATATTGATGTCAAAAATGCGTATAAAGAAGCCATTTGTCACAATTAATATCCATTGGATATGTTGAATTGTTTATCAGAAAAACGCTTGAATTTTGTCGTGTTAGTTGTACTTTCATCGCTGACGCAACAGCAAACACTGCAACGAGGAACGCCGGATCAACCAATCAATGGTCAGAATTTGAAATAGGTAAATGCTCTTGTGCGGTTTGCATCTTCGCCACTCAAGAAACATTTATTTCGGTCACCCCTCCAAACTAACCTTTGGCAGATTGAATCACGACAGTGTGTATTTAATAGGCGCCCTTAACGACAAGGAAGGAAAACGGGGCAAAAATAAACAGCCAATCAGCTATCTTGTATCAAAATATAGGAGAGCGTTTTTTTTAAATGGTGACCCAAATTTTTCAAAATAAAAGCCTCACCTATCACCAAAACCATGCAATTGAGGCATTACTAGCTGAAAAGGACGAGTTTGTTGCAACGATGACAGGGAGTGTCAAATCACGAAAAGTGTGCAACAGTTCAATTCTTGAATGATCGACAGACTCGGAGTTTATGAGATTTTCTTTCAGGTTGCAATTGACAGTTTCATTACTTTGTTAAAACATAGTTGACATAAATATTTGTCACTTTGCTGACGAAGTATGCCACACACAGTCTGCAACGTTGGCATAAACAATTGTTGAAAACTGTGTGAAAAAATGCAGCGCCGGTTTTGGGGGTTTGGCAAACAACCTAAACACACTCTGCACGCACGATTACTAGACGAATTTCGCAGTAACCGTGCTACACGTTGCCATTTCGTTTGCCACATTTTGTTCTTTAGCTTACCGCGCAATGTTACACATCGCCTGATTGGGCGCTTTTTCAACAGGCGCGTCCAATCAAACTTGGCCATTTGTTTAATATAAAATACGCGTTTACCCAGGCTGATCCCGCACGGGTTGGTAAAGTCGGCAATGAGTCGGCACTCACCAACCGTGCGATTTGGACGATGGATACGATGTATCCGTGCTGTGTTTTCTCGACCAAATACGACAACAGATCGCACCGCAACCCCACACCACATCATTTAGAGAAGCAGTCATGTAACGTTACGTCTCGGATTCTGGGATAAATCTCTCAGCCAATCAGATTGTTTTAATTTTAGCCTATCACAGGCGAGATGTTATTGACCTATCGTACACATTGCCGCCAATTTATATTTATGTTACGATTGCTACTTTATAGAGTTGTGTTTTCTATCACGTTCGTTCAGAGAGTATATATACTCAGAATTTGTGTATTTCACCAGTGTTCATCTGTTGTTACTACTTACTATATCAGTCTATCTGGCAATAAACCACCACTGTGTTTTTTGCATACAACTGATCTGTTTGGTTCTGTTCCGGTATAGTCTTCCCGAATCCTACCCCGGGGAGTTAACACACTACATTTACTCCCCAACACATCACTCGTGAAAATAAATTACTTACTCCACATACGTCAGTGCGAGGCTATGGCGTTTTGTTATAGTACTCACAGTTCATGTAACGTTTACTACAGTCATCGGTATGTCAGCAGATGTACTGCATTATAGTAATAATAATGTATGTGTATATTACGTATACATTATCTAGTGATTGATTTGTTTTCTTAACCTGACATATCTTACTCACTTTAGATATACCCTTGTCACGAATCACATTCCCTCAAAGATGAACCTTTTTCCGCCTCGTGTTCACTTAAAGTGACGTCACAATGTGTGAAATAGTGCGATTACCTGTATACGAATCGACAAACAATAATACATTGATTATTGCCAGGGATTGGTTCTCGTAAACTGTAAGATCCCGAATGAAAGGCGGGTGGTCTCCATCTCTGAGGAGTCGTTTCGGAAGAGACAGCTCTTCGAAAAAGTATGTGTATGTACAGTTAGTGACAAATCGGAGAGAAGCGGTATACTCGACAAAATGTGTCCATCCACGTCCAAACTTCTGTTCTGCAAGTGGATATCCCGAAAGGAGATCTTCAAATATCTCATAAGCAGATTCCAAGGAAGCTTTATGAGCGTCCCACATATAGTACAGTAAATAGTCTTGTTGCGCTGCGCCTATGGGAGTACAATGGCCCTTGCGGCAAGTAATGTGTTTCATATGTTGGTAAAATTCAATCCATTTTTGAAACGCTTGTGGAATTAATTCACGGCAAGAAGCAATACTATTGCAGTATTGATCAGCGCGCCCACTTGGTTTTAACAATTTAAGTTGCAGTCCCTCGAGGTCAATGACACCTGCTTCAACGGCGCAAAGGAATGGAATAACTGACAGGTAGTAGTTCATACTGGCCCAAAAGCTGTTATGCGATACGTAGAACTTGTCTTCTTGATCACTTTGTAAATTGAATGGATCGTTCAGACGATGTGTTGAGAACTGCCATCCAAATTGGAGTGGAAGGCCCCAAAGAATGTTGCCTAAATTACGAGGCCCGAAGTCGCGCATGTATTTTTCGGTGGATTTCAACAATATTTTATACAGACCCATACGTTGCACATAGTTCCAGGGATCGACAGTTACAGTCCCGTTAAATACGTCGTAGTCTGTAATACGTGCCGGTACTTGGTCCCAGAATGGAGACGAACATTCACAGGCGTGGGTAGTTTCACTAACCTTTAAATCGCAACTTTCCCGCCCAGAATCACATGCTTGAATTCTGGCGTAACTTTCAACGCTTTTTACCATGTACAACACACAGAAGAAGCTTACAAATTTCAACGTTGAGTGATCCATGATTTAGACGTTTATCATATATTTTGTATGATATCAGTGTCCCGTCTGTTCACCTTGGGTCCGGTCACATGTCAGCACGTAAGCACATGCAATTGGTAAGATAAAACCCGGGTTACAAAGGAATGAAGATTTTTTATCACATGCTGTTATTTTGACTAAACACGTGGTTCCCGATATCCGATTAACAATCAAAGCCACCAGCGTTGGTAGTAGAACCCAGTTTCATGCATCCAATCACGAGACCAGTTACAGTTACACATAAAAATGAGCCACCGTGTAGGCGCTAAGTCATGTAATATTTGAAAGAAAGAATGCATCTACTGAGTGGATGCAAATGCAAAATATCAGACCAATTAGTCTAATACAACAAACATAATACTACATTTACTATTTCCACTTAATCAAAGATGGCAGACAAACCATGTGACTGATCAACATTATTTTATTTTTCTCATAAGAACATTCGGCCATACATGTTATATAGCAAATATTAAGTCGTTCGTTTGGTTAAACCCGTCAATTACGTCGTAGTCTGTAATACGTGCCGGTACTTGGTCCCAGAATGGAGACGAACTTTCACAGGCGTGGGTAGTTTTCACTAACCTTTAAATCGCAACTTTCCCGCCCAGAATCACATGCTTGAATTCTGGCGTAACTTTCAACACTTTTTACAATGTACAACACACAGAAGAAGCTTACAAATTTCAACGCCGAGTGATTCATGATTTAGACGTGTATCATATCTATCGTATCAGTATAATATCAGTACCTAGTGACCCGTTTGGTCACATTGGGTCCGGTCACATGTCAGTACGTAAGCACATACAATTGGTAAGACAAGTAACCTGTAGAATGCTGTGTGGGTAATATTTTTATATTAATGTTTGTTGCACTTGCAGCAAATAGTTACCAAACAATGAGAAATCTATAGGATTGGATATATCTCTCAGTTGGTTCCACATGCATAGTTCAAGCCTGCCTAACTTATACCAGGATTTAGCTACAGCCCCTAGACGATCTGTGGTTACAGCTTCCGAGTAATCGCAGGACATTGACATAACAATAGAAAATAAAAGACTGGCACTCCCATGCAATTAATAACAAGTGAAATTTTGAAGTCACTGATGTTGCATAAAGACGAGGTAGTTTATTTCATCAGTGCTGACCTAAAGGCTGAAATTATAATTCCCTGACGTTCATTCATTCAATTTCTCCTGAAGTCAAATAGAATACACTGGTGAACGGATGTTTGGGTGCAGTGTATATGGAGGGGTGGGTGTCATACAATTTTTTCATTTCCAACTCTCATGAAGTCCCATATAATTTCACTTAATTTATTTTCGCTGAAAGATTTTCGTGTGGATCTAATTCTCACTGTGCTGTGTCAAGTCTCAATAGAGTATGAGAGAAATGGCATTTTCACTTGAATTTATTTTAGCGAAAAAATGTTCTCAGTAAAAATGAAGTATTCCACATTATTACATATGTACTGCAGTTTATTTTGATTCGTCCCGGAAATCAAAATAGGTATTTACAGTTGCCATAGCTACAGCCAAAAACTGTTTTTTGGATAGCTTCGCGCCAAATGTATCTCATCCTACAAATTTAGGATAAAACACCTCAGACATATGTAAGCCCTCTCTCAGTGACCCTCCAATGACCTTTGTAACCAGTGACAACGGGTCTCCCTAACGTCACAGTAGAGGCACTCGAAGCAGACAAATTTATCTCACAGGTTCGGGTTATGGCATGGACAGCTTTACCGATATTTACCAGTGCAAGGAAGGTGTATGGCCAAACACACATGGAATAGTTTCCCACAAAAAATGATTTAATAAATAACAACAACAAAATTGCACACTGGCTAACTATACACAACATCAATATAAGTTAGCCTAAAACAGCAAAAGGTGTACAACAGACTACTTAGTAAATTCAAAATAGAAAATACTAAATGCCCAATTCAATTTCTCCTATCAGTAACAGGAATCCACTCAAAATTTACAACTTACCACAATGTCAGTAAGTATAAAAAATTAGTACTCGCCCTTTAACAAATAGGCCAAACATAAGAATAGTTAAAGGGGTCTACGTAAGATATACCACAGAACAATCTATGTTTAGTTCTCAATACAGGAATATG